TGAGTCAGGGAGCGCACGCCTCGAATACAATGGAACGTACTGGCATGAGGAGTGCTTCAAATGCGCCGTTTGTCAGGAGGCCATTGGGACCAGCGGTTTTGTGCCAAAAGATGGTGAATTTTACTGCCCCAACTGTTATCAGAATTTGCATGCCAAGCGCTGTGCGGAGTGCGGCGAGCCGTTGTCCGAAGGTGGCGTTCTTTACAACGAACAAACGTGGCACAAAGAGTGTTTCAGTTGTTACAGTTGCCATGAGTCTCTAGCGTCTCGTCCCTTTTCCGTACACAACGGTGTGCGCTATTGTATTGAATGTTATGGAAGATTTTTGGCCAAACAGTGCGAGCTGTGCTTCAAGCCAATTATCGGAGGGGAATACTTTACGTTAGAAGATTCCAATTTCCACAAAGAGTGCTTTAACTGTAGCCGGTGTCAGCGGTCATTGGCCAACGAAGGCTTCGCCCGCGAAGGAGTGGAATTGCTATGTGCCAGCTGTGCTGAATAAACCGATGACCGTTGAACCGCACGCCGCAGTAATGATCAGTTGACGCCATGAAGTGGAAGACAGTCTAATGACGTCTTTGTAATTTTCTATTGAGAGAAAGAATGTCCCTTTTCATGGTACAAAAGACAAACTTATCAGAACAAAGTTTAAACTATTGCTCTTAGCAAAACAAGACAAAAGACTAGAAGACAGTACACATAAAGTCAAAAACTGCTCAGAGGAATGATTTTTAGTTATTATTTTAAACGTTTTCTGTTTGTGAGTATTCATTTTCGAAACAGTTTGGTTGTGAAAACTCTAAATTAAAATTGTTGCGATGTGGCGATATCTGCTAATGTGGCTTTAATGATTGATTCTAGAGGGTTAACCCAAACCCGCTGGTTGAATGATTTTGTAGCTCTTTCCTTTGGAAAGTGTTATCAAGTTTCTAATTAAGTCATCCCAGGAAGTGCGTTTGGAGTAAATAAGATTATTAAACAAACGATTGACCATGGTGATTAAAAATGATTTTATAACAAAATCAAAAATCGCCTTGTCCATAGTCAAAATTGTATTACATTATATCATATTATCATATTATTAAATGATCGAAGTTTGAAGTGAGAGTTTTTAAAGACCTCAAGTCGGCAGTTTAAGTCACATATAAGCCTGTTATTCAAATGATCCTTCGAACACAACACTCCATACAGCGCTCCGGCCTAACCTAACCCTAACCCTTGGACCAAAATCTGAGTTTTGAAATCTAAAGAATTTTCTCTTCTTCATGGCAGTAAAAATCCACTATGATAATATAAAAGAAAAAACAGAATAATGTTTGCTCTCGTCTTGACATGAGCACGTGTTCAGCTATCTTTTCTTACCAGAAAACCAGCCCCATCTCTTGAGATCGAAAATAAAAAAAACTGTCGAACCGTAACTGAGAGACGCCACTGATTCAAATTCTAATCCAAAACCGTTGATCGAAATTATTAAACAATGTTGCGATGCCTCACAGCAGTAATTTTATCAATATGCCTATAGCATACTTGGTTCGACTTTTCAGTTAGAAAGGAGACCAGCTACGAAGTAATCATTTTACAGAAGAAGATCTGAACCCAGCCTCGTGTTGACATGTCAGTTTTGGAAAGTGAATAGAATTAAAGTGAATTCCCTTTCGAAACGTACTTTAAAAGTTTGTTGTATTTAATCTCTGTACATTTTCTCTGCAACAGTTTGCGCTGAAGGTATCATTCATTTGAATTCATAACTGAGAAATCACAAGTTAGGTATAACTGATGTCAGAATTCTTCTCCGTTACTTTAGAACTAAGGTTCTAAGGGTGTGGAATTGTAAATGGACGTCACATTTGATTGTTTGCGTTATTACTGTAACTATGATCATTACTTATAGCATGGATAAATTACTGGAACTTGTTCGAGCGCAATACGTGGTCAAGAACTCGGGTAAAGAGTTATTGGTATGTCCTTCAAGATATTGTGAATGATATATGCCAGCTGAATTGAAGCATGGTAACAATTATCTGTCTAATCAGTGTAATTAAATTTGTGAATGGAATTGTGTTGTAAAATTACTGTTTAGCTACTGTTTATTATCGGCACTAAATAGGCTGGGGATATGCATTATAAACATGATATATATTACCGTATATGGAGGCTCAACTGGCCATGGAACATTGTTTAATCCTAAAGAGGACTGAGAGACCTGTTTGAGTTAATTTCCATTTTGTAATGAATTTTCATTTTAATTTTCATTCCTTTTCAAAAATTGCTTAGGCGACGAGAAAGGCNTTGTATTTAATCTCTGTACATTTTCTCTGCAACAGTTTGCGCTGAAGGTATCATTCATTTGAATTCATAACTGAGAAATCACAAGTTAGGTATAACTGATGTCAGAATTCTTCTCCGTTACTTTAGAACTACTTTGCCACGTCTATACGTCACTGGCAAATCAAATTATTAGTCATTTTGGGCCTAGATACGCAGAAGATGACATTCAGGAAACCTTTCAAGAAAGGGACGACTTCGTGTCGCACGACCAAAAAGATACAATTATTGAAGAGTACGAGAACCCACGAAAATTTATCGATCCTTCTGCCTGGAGAAGAAATATGCCAACATGGAAAGTTTCGCTGAAAAATAGTGCCTACTTTGTGTTTATGGTTACTTTCGTTGTTGGCGGTTTGATTGGGTTAGCGTCCTTGTTGCTGACGTGGTATATTATAAGCATTGTCTATGCCTGTGATTGGAAGTCACTTGCCGATCCTACATACCCTCTGCAACTTAAGAGGAGACGCATAATTGGTCAATCTTACCAGTCTTTCATTCTTTACTTTTGGCAGCCCGCATTGATGTGCATGGTTTTCAAGTGACAATTTCTTAAAGATGTCAATCTATTGACCTGCACTCTTGCTGGAGCGTCTCTTGATCTTGGGTACAGGTTTTTCCTTGGCTTGTTTGATATGTATTATCCTCCATGGGTACCATATCCACTAAATGTAGTTTATATAGTTGTAGTTATAATGACAACTCTGTCTATTAGCAAAAAAATTATTCAAACCAGGGGCCGAATTCAGGCCACTATTGTGTTGGCTTTCAAACTCAGTTCTCAGTTCATCACTGGAGCAATTGTTTTGTATATTGTCTGGTACGCCTTTATATCAAGCTTTGCCCAGAAGGAAGGCCTTATGAAATTACTTTATCTTGTTTTACTGTTTCCAATAGCCTTATTTCCAAAAGTGATATCACGGCAATGTGTCCTTCGCTTAGATCATGTCAATCATCCGGGAACTTCTTACGTTCTGGTATCCACTGCATGCGGAAGTGCCATTATAGTGTACAGATTGCTACAGGCAGAGTTTAAAAGTCTTTTGGCTTTTACTGCACTAAGCATTGGTTACGGTGTCAGTCATTCAGCTTACGAATTGATCATCTTATTACGAGAAAACAAAAAGGAAAAACGCTGGAAAACTTTGTACTTGGAGTCAGAATCAAACTCTCCAGGACACTCTGCCACCTGTCACACATCACCTCGTGCTAAGAGGCTAGATGCTGACCTAACAATACAGGAAATGATCTTCAGTTGCATTTCTCTCGTGTTGTCAGTGGGAATAATTTTTGTTTATGGCTTCACTCATTGCAGCGTGAGTATTGAACAGTTTCAGCAAATGACCCTTAAAGAATTGGCAGCAAAAATATTGTTGGGGCTGTTTATTGAATTTGTATTTAATACCCTTACTGTAATATTGTTAACTCGAGGAAGGAATATTCCTGTTCTAAGGGTGTGGAGTTGTAAATGGCAGTCACATTTGATTGTTTGCGTTATTACTGTAACTATGATCGAATGAATATCGTACCTATTTAATGACCTTGAACAAGCTCGCGTTATGCACCAGTTCTTGAGCCCATTTCTCAATAACCATACAGGAAGTTCTATAACACTTACTATATACGGTCGACTTAACTTCGTACCAAACAATTATCTGTCTAATCAGTGTAATTAAATTTGTGAATGGAATTGTGTTGTAAAATTACTGTTTAGCTACTGTTTATTATCGGCACTAAATAGGCTGGGGATATGCATTATAAACATGATATATATTACCGTATATGGAGGCTCAACTGGCCATGGAACATTGTTTAATCCTAAAGAGGACTGAGAGACCTGTTTGAGTTAATTTCCATTTTGTAATGAATTTTCATTTTAATTTTCATTCCTTTTCAAAAATTGCTTAGGCGACGAGAAAGGCTGAAGAGGCCACATCGATAGATTACGCTCTCTCACTTTTGTCGAGGTTATTCTCGGCAACTGGTAAATCCGGCACAGGAAAAGGAAATCCCCACAACATTAGGTCAATCCTTTAAATACAACTTGTTTAGGTCTCCTTTTTGCCGGCAATAAATGTATTGATGACTGACTGAAGAAACTGTTTCTTTTTTTTTTTTTTTTTTAACTTTAAAGTCGGCTCATGAGACATAAGGCTAATGATCTGCTTTCAGATTCCAATAGCTGCTCATGACCCAGGCACCTAAACGCTATGACTTCTCCGCGTTTAAGCTATCACTGGAAATGGGAATATGGGGATTTTAGTTTTCTTCCCGCTTCAGCGATCCGGATTTATTGTCTGCATAATTCAAGTTTATCAGACTACTGTCTTGTTTCCTATGACGAAGTCAATATACTTCTAAATGTTCCATAAGGCTTCATGAAAAACGAATGTGTCTAATATAATTCAAAGCGACAAAAATGAACACTCATGAACAGGAACAAAATTTGACAAAAATGACAGGATAAACTGTTTCAAAATCTTCTAAATTGCAGTCTGTTTTAATCTTATTTGACTTTTTCAAAAATTTTTTCCTTCTTTGGTCAATTTCAATTTCAAAGGTCAATTTTCATCAGTTCACTCAGTTTGATGGCCAGTTTTCCTATAATGACTGAATTTGGCTACTTTGCAGAGAGTTTTTGTATTTTTTTTTCTCTCTCCTAGTTGATGAGCCAAGCAATCAACATTGGGAAAAGTCACTTCGAAACTATAACAAATGGCAGCACCGAAGACTTTGTCGCAAGTGTTCTTCAATCGCCTTACCAAACTGAGTATCCAAGGAAACAGAAGACCCTTCAGAAAGCTCGAGAAGACGCCAAGAATGTAACTTTATGTATCGTTTAATACCGCTGATAACACCAGCGTGGCTGCGGCTATAACTGCGATGGAAAATAGTATTCGCGATGTTCGTGCATGGATGAGAAAAAAAAAATCCCAACGTTTAAAAGAATCAATGTTAGTACCTTCCCTTACTGGCAAACATAGAACTGGGGCCGTTTACAAAAACGATCGATCCCCCAAAGTCTTTTTCGTTCTGAACCGCGGACTTTCTAGCAATATGCCATTATTATTTCGACGCAATTTTACATTATTGAATTGAATTCTTATTATAGCTCGGAGCACGAAACTTTACTGGTAACCAGTGAAGTTCTCTAAGCTGAGAGGTAATGTGGCAATACTATTAAGGTGCGCCCTGAGGCAAGTAAAGTAACCGTACGTGCGCTTGCATTCATGACCCTTTAAAGTTTACTAATTTTATACTGCGGAACACCCTACAATAAGCTATTAAAATAGTCCAACCTCGTAGTAA